AATACTAAAGTTTAAATCATAAACTATCAATTTCTTTAGCCTTCTCTCCAACCCATTTAGTTTCCTGAATGCACAAAATATTTAACTTCCTATGAATCATAATATCTATTAATTCCATTAATTTTCCTGTAAAGGAACCTATATACCAAGTTCCTATCCTAATTTTAGTTTCATGGACTAGCTTCTTTGCCCACATCCGTCCTTGATGTGGAAACCCTTGCCTATTTAACACTGCACCCGGGCACCGGTGCAGCGGCCCTTGCACACTTGTCACTGTATTCAGGCCATACAGCGCGTCGCTTCCAGGGAACGCCATAGCATTAACACAATTTCTTAAAGAATTCATGTCATTATTGTCGACAAGTTTTACGCTGGCTGTCGACTACCTAACGCAACTCTCCACTTTTCTCATCCAGGACTTGGGACCTGGCAACAACAGTGTTTATAGTATTTTTGACTAATGACAATAAAATCTCCTAAGTTTCCCTAAGTAAACTCTCCTAAATTAGTTATGAATCAGAGCATATGCATTTTTAGATCTCTGTAGATCTGTAAGGATGTTAAAAAAAGTTTATCGCCTTACTACAATTGTTTTATCTCTACTATATAACCTAAAATACTAAAATCCTATGTCTAGACATGCACGAGTTCCATTCTAATAATCCAATTTTCACAATTGAGCATGCCTTGCCATGCATATTAGTCAAACATTGAAGAATGTTGTGCACATTTTACAATAAATAATCATCACAAGGAACCACAGAAAACCTTATTCTTAAAAAGATTAATACCAATGTGGAAAAGTGAAGCAGAAAGATGCCCCTCATTCAATCGAAAATGAAGCTTACCTTTCCCCAAGACAGAACAAACCACTACCTTTGAGAATGCCGCCATCTAAGGAGATAGCACCATCACTTATGAATGGAAGAGCATCCATCATGTCACTCCTGGTATTGTACACTTGCAAGCGAGAAAATAAACTATAAAACAATGTCTCTCTTAGCCCACGGCCATCAACTGTTACACAAGATAAGTGTTGCTGATCCATATAGATCATGTTCACAGCAAAGCCCAAAAAGCCAGGTGGATATTTCCCATTAGGTAGCTTTGGATTCATTAGTGCAAGCTTTTTTTGTGGATCATCAGGAAGAATTTCGCCACTAAATGGTCTGGTAAAAAAAAATTAGTGACGTGTCAGAATAATATAAGGTATTGTGAGAAAAGTGCTCATAGCTGATGACAGAATAACACTCTTAAATCAACATATGCAGTCACAAAAATTATCTCGAACAAGGCAGTGATCGGATCATATCTAATATACCTCAGATTCTGAAGGCAGTAAACAAGAAATCTACCATTTAACATCCTTCCAATTGTTGGTGCAATGCCATGAAGACCAGCATTCATGTCAACAGTGCCATCTTTTTCATAATTTTCAAGGGCTTCAACACCATCAATTGTCTTGCAAACTATAGCCAACATGGTCTCCACTCCCAAATACTCGGATAATATTCTGATAAAAAATGTCAGAAATCACAAATGAAAAAAGCATGGTGAATCACCTGTCACTATCATATGGCATACTCATCAAATCACCGCCAGAAGGAATTGATAAACCTTAGCTGATTATAGTAATGATGCATGAAAAAAAACACACACACACACATTTTGTAGTCTTGAGCAGTTTCTTCCTCCAGTGGAAGAAAAGATTAGAGAGAGTCGCCTTAGATGGTTTGGTCACATTAAACGGAGGCCTTCCAATGACCCGGTTAGAAAGTTGAGGTATTAGATTTGACTTATGTTAAGAAAGGTAGAGTTAGACCTAAAAAGATTTTGTTTGAAAATATTAGAAATGTGTTAGACCGGTCCACTGGACCGGTCCAGCCGATCCAGGCGGGACCGGTTCACGGGAAAAACCACAAAACAGTGGAGAAAGAACTCCGCCTGTGCGGGATGCCGCGCGAGCCGCGATTCCACGGGACCGTTTTAGGAAGGATTTTTGAGGAAGATTAGAAGGGAATTTGAATGTAGGGACTGTTTAGGGATTTCCTTTTGATTTGTATGCATTAAATAGTTGTTTTTCCTAGGGTTTGGGTATCTTGAATTTGGCTGAAATTTGAGATCTCGTAGATTTAGGTTTCTTTGGGCTCTAGTGGCGTCTAGAGATTTGGGAGAGATCGATCCTCCTCTCGAATTGAGGATCAATTGTATCTTTGCTGTTTTATTCATCTACTAGTAAAATACAAGCTTTTCTTTGAGTTTTCTCTCCGTTTTCTCTATAATTTCTGCTGTTTTTTCTGTGATAACCTGCTGTCCAACTCTATAAACAGCAGATTTTCTGCTGTCTCGCTTCCGATTTGGCTAGGAATTACTTGCGAACTCAAGTATTTCCTATCAAAATGATCTTTCTTTATTAGATTTAAATGAAAATTTGACTTTAACCAGACACAATGATGAAAAAGGATTCATGTAGTCAACCCCACATAGTGTGACAAAGGCTTGATGTTGTTGTTGTTGTTGTTGTTGAGCAGTTTCTTCAGTCTACTATAGCTAACTAACATGCAGTAACATCATATAGTATGTGATTGTACTCAACCGAGGTAGAAGGTTTGGAATAGCAATTGCTGCCAGCAGAAAACAAACTTCATATATAATAGCTATAAACATGAAAAGAAACTAACCTGAAAAAAAATAAAAAAAAAAATAAAAAAAAAAAAACAGAATAGATGTACAACTATTTTTGAAGGAAGAAACTAGCCTGCTAAGATTCTGATCGCATACTTTTCCAAGTGAAGCAACAATTCCTAAAACATCTTTGGTGCATTTTAATGTAGATAACATTGAACCATGCCGATCTTTCACCTCACATATTATGCCAGCTGCTGTTTTCTCCAGCTGTATTACTTGATCATTCATCTGTTTCTCAGTGTATACAGAAGAAACACTGCTGTTCCCGTTGTCCATGCTTGAGAAGTAGCATTCTTTAAGTTCACCTACAAAATAATTTTGAATTCCAAATCAAGTGTATTTTCTGAGCTTAGAAGAACCAATACACTTAGGCTTCATTTGGGAAGGCTTTTTTCCTCCTTAAAGCAGCTTTTTAGTTCAATAATTATATTTTTTGTACTAAAAAACTGCTTTAAGAAGCAGTAAAAAAACCGTCCCAAACGAAGCCTTAAAGCAAGAGGAAACTGAGGTAACAAGAACTATTTTGCTTAATATAGATGAGCCAGTCACCAAGATTATTACAAGCAAATTATCTTAAAACAAACAGCAACTAATCAGGAAAGTTTCCTGTCCGAGATTCATGAGTATGATACTTCACAACAAACATAAAAAGAGCAGATCAATTGTCTATTTCACCATAAGCAAATGACGCAGGTTAACATTGACTTAACCTTGCAGACGATGAATGGATTCATCGATGGCATTCACATGAGCATTGAGATAGTTTAGTTTGTCTTCATGGTGCTTAACCTCTTGTGCCAGTTTCTGTGAATTGTCTTGATCTTTCTGTGAGAAAATAATGCATGAAACACCAGTTGTCAAATATCCCAAGCCTAATTTGGTGAGTGATCAAAATGAAAATATATTTTTCATATGATTACTTCAGCAGATATATTATCCTTAAAATTCTAGTAACTTCATAATGGAACAGAATATCATCATCTAGTTAACCTGAATTAAAGCCTTCAACAATTCAATATTCTGCGCTGTGCCGTCCAGTTTGCATTGGGGTAGTGTGGCCATCGCATCAGCTCTGACAGAAGTGATAAATAGCTGGCCTAATATATGAGATGCCTGTCATCAGGAGAAAGTTTACCGAATAATGTTTAGCAAGCTATCAACAAAATAGTAAGCTCAATCAAGTGAAAAATAAACCTAAATACAAGTAAAATGGTTATTAGTAGTATTGATGCATAAATAAAAAAATGAGGATCACTTCTTTAGAGTTCAGATTCCAAACTCTAGGATAGAGAGGACATGTTAAGCATAGGTATCTTGTCTTGTGATTGTGGGCTCCGAAAATTCGGCCCCGGCCTCCCCACCGCGCATGATTGTTTATGCTTTTGCTTTTGGCGAGGGAGTTTTAACGAATTAAGTTCCGGGGTAAATTTTGGAAGGCAGATGAGTTTGTAGATAAGACACTACCCAAAGATTTCGCCCTCATTTTGCGAGAACTTTATGATCTGAGTTCTGGTTTCAGTGTATATATATTAATGTAATATCATATTAAAAATGACAAATAATAATAAATGAATGACATGATAACTTGTTTAGCTTATAATATAAAATATTTAGTACAAGCACAAAAATATAAGTAAATAATCATTTACTACAATATCAAGCATTCAAGCTTCAACTACTATGATTAGCTTTAGAGGTTTGTTTTTGGTCTTCAATATCATCATCATTGAATATCACTACTTTCAACTCTGGTTTAACAAGAGAAAAATTTGTAATTGTGCAATAAGAGAGGAGATGAAAATACCTTCACTGCCAAAGAGAAATGAAAATGAGAATATTCGATGAATGGGTATTAAATGCAGACGATGATTTGGTGTTGTGGATATGAAATAAGAAATTTAATTTAAATCTCACCAAATATAAGAAATTATATTTTTTAAAAAATTATAAAATATTTAAGATACGTGTGTCGGACACGCGTGTCCAATTTATTTTTAATATTTTTTTAATCGGACACGTTTTCGGCGTGTCCGACACGTGTCGGAGGAGTGTCAGACGAGTGTCGTGTCGGACACGGTGTCGGACACTGCACGCCTCTTTGAGGAGAAGTGTCGGTGCATCATAGATTATCCATCTTAATGCGTAAGAAAAACTCTCAATTAAAGATGAATAATCTTTAGATATTTTAGTCTCAATTATGGGAAAAAATGGAAGTAAACCTGAAGAAGATCACATGGTTCCATCATCCCAGGTATATCGTAGATTTCAGTCTACCAACACTAACAAATATTGACCGCAGTGTCCAAAAAATTTGATTAGAAGTCATGGGTTGCCTCCTCTCAGGAATCCCGAGTAAACTAAGGTTGTTAGATATGGGTTATAGTTTTTATTAAAAAGTGATTTGGGGTTTACATTTATTAGAATACACAAAAAATAGTATGGCTTGGGATTTATAACTTCATTTAAAAAGTTACCCATATGTTTAAATTAAAGTGGGTCTTACGAATTCTTCAAGAAGTAACCCAGGTGTTTGAATTTGGGTCGGGATTTATGGCTTTCATTAAAATTAGCTCATAGAGCGGGTCTTACGGCTTCTATTAGAAGTAGTCCATTGATGGGTTTTACAACCTAGCCCTATAGGCTAAGCTCCCCATTAATTTTGGTTGAAGAGTTTGATGTTTTATTTAGAAATTCCCCAAAGAAGAAGTCTTACGACTCCATTTAGAAGTTGTCTAATCATTTAGGTAAAATGGTCTTACTACTTCTCTTTGGAAGTAGCCCAATAGTGGGTCTTACTTCCCTTTGGGTAAAACGGTCTTACTACTCCCTTTTAGAGCATTATACCTTCGCAGGGGGGCAACACGCCACCTTCTCAAAGGTTTGAGGGTGAACGCATCGAAAATTTATTTTTGTATGTACAGTTGTATAGCACTGCAACACTATATGATGGAGTGCTACAACATTTATGGCTCTAACTAGAGATAGAGAGTGGAGTGTTATGGTGCTCCAACCCCCAGCATTACGACGCTGTAAGCCGGGCTAGAGACAAAAAATGGAGCGTTGCGGCACTCCAAATCCCAGCACCGCAACACTGCGAGTCAGGCTGAGCAATTTTTCTTCCTCTTCCTTTTGTTTCACTTGAAGGGTTGCATCTTTTGGATGTTTAAGTACGTCCTTTTACTATTTTGAGAAGATTATGCCACGTATGAGATGAAGAGAGACAAAAGAGTGCAAGAAGAGATACGTGCACAATTTGTCTAAACTTTCATATTGAATTTCTTGATGTGGTGTAGATTCGTTATTTTTTTCCCGGTTTTAGGTTCTCTTCTGTTAAATTCATGTGTTATTTTTTCTTCACTGCACTTTTATTATTCATTTTTGTTTGGATGTTTGATTATACTTCCCAAAACGTGATTGTTTCAACATTTCAATGGCGTCCCCTCCTTCTAGCAGGCTTTAATGACACTCTTCACAATCACTTAGGGAACCCCATCTTAACAATTGATGATCTTCTTCTAGTATTAAGCTTTCTTCATCTTGAAATATATTCTTTTAATGGAAAGACAATATTACTGCTCTTCTCTCTCTCTTTTTTCTTTTTTTCTTTTTTTTGGTGAGGGCGGACTCTCATTAGAGTCTATATATTTGATTTTAGCTTCTTGTACTCCTTTTGCTTTTTCACTTAGCAATGCAGCATGCACTTTTCTAAAAAAAAAATAATAACAATTGAGCATAAATAGTACCTAGCATTTCTCATTTGGAGCAAAACTCCTCCATGCACTTAGAAACAGTAAACATTTAAGAATGCGGCTTTGAAAAGAGACTAAGAAATGCAAATACTCAAAATAATACACAAGCACGGAGATGAAAATAAAAGATTCAGCAAATAAATTAACGGATGATAGGAAATCAGAAGATGACCTAACTCCGGCGACGGCGGCCGCGGTGAAAGTAGAAGCTTGCCAGAGGCGGCTTGATTGTAGTGGATCGAACGGTCGAAGCGTGGAGCTCGGAAGCGAGCAGAACGATGACGTACTGAGCCGTGAGGGATCTCGATGTCGCTTTGTGTAGGCCAGTCACGTGCATCTCACATGAGGACGATTTTGCGCTGGTTTAGCCTTCGAGGGCCCGACGCGCAATATTGGCGCCAATCGAGCAGCTTTTAAAACTCTGCAGCAAAGAATTAGAATCAAATAGAATTTCAATTTAGGCTCCATTTTGGATGGCTTTCTTCTTGATTTTTAAAATAAATTTTTAGTATAAAATTTTTTTATTAAAAAGTCGTTTTAAAAAGTAGTACAAAAGCTGTCTCAAACTAAGCCTGAGGCTTGATTTTGATTGACTTTCTTGTAGCTTCTTATAGTAGCTTTTTAGTACAAATATTCAATTTTATACTTGATACGTCATCTTGAAATTATCTTGATCGAGCATGAATCTCGAGGCAAAAAGCTAGCCGGAAACTTCAAAAATTAAATCCGGGATCACATGAACTCCGATTTCAGCGAGCTTACAGTCAAACTGAGCGTCTCAGAAATACGAACCCAACGATACCAAGTTCGACCCAATCCGAGCCCAAAGGGGTCCAAATCATGGATCCGAAGCGCTGTTGGAAGGTTCAAACCACTATTTGAGTTACCATATTTACTTTTCATTTAGTATAGGAGCACCGTATAAAATTTTGTACTAATGAACGTGCAACTATTTCTATTTTCATTTAACATGTTACGTTGCATTCATAACTAATACCATTGGGGGTGAGCTCTTGTATTTGCATCCATAGATCTTTTTCTTCTTCTTTTACTACTTTCATTTACATATTATATATTCTTTTATTAATTTCTTTTTCTTACATGTATTTTAATCGATATATGCACTTTTCATTATATATATATATATATATATATATTACATTGTAAATTTTCATTGCTTAATTTTCCTCAATTTGATGTATAATAGACACCTAAACTTTAACAAGTACACACATACATATTACAATATTCAATAATTGAAATGAAATATTTATATGCATAAATTTGCAAATTTATCTTAAAAGTATATATATCTTCAATAAATTCAAATAAATTTTCCATTAATATAAATATAACTCTTATCTAATCTTTCTCTGAGAACTTTTATTTACTTCAGTATTTTGTCTCAAGTCAATTGTTTAATTCTATCACTCTTTCAAAATATATTCATATATAGGGATTTACATACATACCTTTTTATTTAATGATATTTATATATCTAACACTTAAAATTTTAATATTGCATGTCTACCACCCATAAAATAAATATAGGTACATGAAATAAAAAATTAAAGTTTATCGGATGGTATGAGTGATAAGAACAAAATATATGAGTGGTTTATTTGATATTAAAATTTTATATAAATAACAGAAATGTAATATTAAAATTTTAAATATTAGAAATGTAAATAGCATGAAATAAAGTGGTATGTGCTTAAATCCCCCATCAAGATAATATTGAATCAATTAATAAATATTGTTAATGAAAACTTCAAATATATTGGACATCATTTATATAATATTAAATATTTCTAATTTATCATATCATAGTTATAATTCTATATCTATTGTTAATTTAAAAAACAAAGATTAAAGTTAATTATTTTAAATTAAATTATATCACATCGATAAATCTTTCTTTTCTTCCTTGTCGAATTCAGAATCTCAACAATTTGATTCTTCCTATTAAACGATCAACTACTCATTTTCTCCTTCTTTGGTCGTTGGTGCTGCCGATGCCTCCTGGAGCTCTCAGGCAACTTCATTGCTTCTTTACCTTAGGTACCGTTGACGCCTTCTACATCGAGCTCCAAATCGCTATCTTTTTGCTTCTTCGCCGCTGTTGGTTTCAAGACTTTGAAGAGAACATAGAGGGAAGAATGAGAAGGAATGACAGTGAGAGAAAGGAGTAAATTTTATAAGGGCATCTCCAACTGAAAATCTCTTTTTTCACTGCAAAATGCAGTGTAACAAAGAAAAATGGTGTGATTCATCTCCAATCGAACTCTATTTTGCGCTCAAGTAATCATTTTTCTCCTTCTCGTGTTTCTTCGGCAAATCTGGTAGAGACTGAAAAATAACGCAGGTGAACAATGCAACGTTAATATTGATGTCGCACTATTTACCCACAACCAAATACTGAAAGTTTTGTCGTTCAGCTGGAGCTCGCAAGCAACGTCATTCATGTGTTTGGAGTTTGGTTGGAGAAGGCCTAAAAGAGAAGCATAATAGTGAAAATTAGGAGCATAAAATTTAGATAATTTGAAAAGAAACAAACTGGTCAAATATTTTTGCACATTCAGAATGTGCCAAACAATATCATGTATTAAGCTTAAAGAGAGAGAAAACTAAAGAGGGAGAGGACGAAAAAAGAGGAGAGGAAGAGTGAGAGAGGGAGGTATTGACACAACGTCAGTTTTACTAGGGAAGGGAAGAGAAGGAAAGGTGACATATTGTTGATTTTTTTTTTAATTTCAAAATAATAATAATACTAAAATAAATATAGACTTCTCACAAATTTTCATTGCTTGCACACACTGAAATCACGTCCTCACCTCCCCCGCAAGAGTGAATTTTCCAAATTACTATCGTGCAACGACCCAAGTAATTTAAGTGTTCAAATTAGCAAATTTGATGCGTTTCGGACAATATTTGCACAACATATAATCCAATGCTCTGCAAATTATTAGGTCCGGTCACCAAACGGCGTTCGACGTCTGCACAGAATAATTAGTCCCGAAAATAACGACTTCATATCTAATTTTTTTAAAGATACTTGGAATATCATGGGCTACTCCTTTTTTGAGGATATTCATCACAATAAGTAACTCCCACATTACATTAAGCATTCAACTATTGCCTTCGGAGCCCAATGAAAATGCATTACATCACCTCCTACTCGATACTGAGTAGTACCGAGCTCGGTACTGCTCAGTACCCTGTTCAACACTGCTCGGTACTCAATACTTCATGGTACCGAGCTCAATACTGCTCAGTACCATTGAAGGATGAACAAACAATAATAGTCAAATTACAGATCACCAGATAATACCATACTTCAACATTCTTTGAAGGATGATGATACAAAAGCAACAGATGACAGCTGCATTAGTGAAAACGAAAATAGAACAGGAAGTGATATTGATGCGGTGCATCATACATATATTATGCCTCAGGGAACAACTTACCTTTACTGTCATTTATGTTCTTATCTTCTGCATAGTGTTACCTTTTTCTCTGTTATAGTCCTATATATATAGTCATTAGATGGTTAAGAGAGAGAGAGAGAAAAAAAAATACATTCCCATTTGAGTTATCCGGCTGTTCTCTGATTTTGATTCTAGCAGCTCCCTTCTTCCATCGATCCGCTACATCATATATCCTATGCCCAATGCAAGAGAGAGAGAGAAATATACATTCCCATTTGAGTTATTTGGATGTTCTCTGATTTTGGTTCTAACAGTACCCTTCTTCCACTGATCCACTACATCAGATATCCTATGCCCAATCTTAAGAGAGAGAGAGAGAGAGAAATCTACATTCCCATTTGAGTTATCTGGCTGTTCTCTGATTTTGATTCTAGCAACTCCTTCCTTCCACCGATCCACTACATCAGATATCCTATGCCCAATCTAAGAGAGAGAGAGAAATATACATTCCCATTTGAGTTATCCAGCTGTTCTCTAATTTTGGTTCTAGCAGCTTCCTTCTTTCACCGATCCACTACATCAGATATCTTATGCACAATGAGTAATTGATATTATTCACCTTACTTGCAAAGGCTTACGACTATGGTTGAGCTTTTAAATAGAGATGAATAAGAATCATCCGAGATTCAATTTGTTTGCTTCTGATGCCTCTTGCAGAAGGATTTCAGCCTGTCAAGAGCATCATCCAGAGTAGATGACTCGATTGCAAAAGTGATGCGAAGCCAATTCTTCATGCCCACCGCTACTCCTGTTTAAGTAAATTACAAAGGTGTACTCTTTTGAGTTATATGCATAAATGAGGAAATGTATTATTAATATTTTCAGATTTATTACTGACATCTATCATAAGACATATTGAAATAAAGTTTTTATCTTGAAAAATAGTGATTCGAAATTGTCAAATGGCATGGATGATGAACAGAAGACATAATGAGGCTTGCTGATAAAGTAAGAAAGTTGAATGATAACTATAGGGCAGCTCACCTGGAAGGATTACTACTGATTCCTCTTTGACCAACTTGCAACAGAACTCAAAATCATCTTGAATGTCATCCAAATAAGATATATCCAACTTTACCTGCATTACATGACACAGATGAGGTTTATTTATAACAATTGAATATCAGATCTTTAAGCTTCGTCTGAGACGGCTTTCTTATTGCTTCTTAAAACAGTTTTCTATATAAAAATTTTGATTTTTGCATTAGAAAGCTGCTTTAAGAAGAAACAAAAAAGTCGTCCCAAACGAAACCTTAGTTTCAGATATTATTCTCATGCCTCACCATCGCAAACATGGACCCTTCTGGTTTATGGGGGCATTCGATGCAGTCAATTTCCTGTAGCTTGGTATAGCATAGATCTGCCAATTTCCTCAATGTTTCTATCGTCTTCTTAAAGAAATCATCCTTTGTATTCTTGAGAATTTCAGGAACTGCTCCCTAAAGATTCAGAAAAGAGAAGATAGTAAGGATAAAATCATGTTGTAAGAGAAAACAAGAGGTAGAACATCCAATTCACGATGGTACCTATATCAAGTGCATACTAAAGAGGAAACTGATAATTAAGGGGCCGTTTTGTTGGGGGTGTAAACATGTGCTCTCTGAGTAGATTCTTTGCAAAGAAGATGCGACCAGTTTGCTTTGTACCAAAAAAAAAATGTGAAGGGATGACCAGAAAGTAGATTCCTAGTTGTTTCTCTCTATTGAGGTTTCGTTTGGGACGGCTTTCATTTTGCTTTTTAAAGCAGCTTCCTTTGTACTAGGAAGCTACTTTAAGAAGCAAAAAAAAAGCTATCCCAAACGAAGCCTAAATCTCATAATAGTATACCATACTTTTGCATCTCACTGATAGAAATACCATTTTCCCTAAAAAAATACTACCAAAATACTCATACACACCATTACTTATCATTACTTAAGTAGGTGGACAAATAAAAACTCTCCACAAGCAAAAGTTTAAGACACTCCCTCAATTTAATTGGGTTGCCTATAAAAGTGAACCCTAAATAAATATTTTTAGGTAGATTTATTGGGAATGTCGCAACATTAATTTAATTTTTCAAGGTTCAAAGAATCTGAGAACTTGTCAGCCAATTGCAACATCTTTTTATGGATAGTTAAACACTCGTTCAAACAGATAATTTATTGCCATCTTCACTGAATTTTTGTACATTGCACCTTTTTGCGTTAGCATTTTTTTGGCTCCTGACTCTTGAGTTTTGGCTTGAATATTGCTTTGTTGAGAAAAAGAATGGAGTAATTTATTTTACATTTATTTTAAAGCCAATCAAATAATCCTCATACTGCACTATCTAAATAAATAATGTGATTCTAAAGCAATATTGCTTAGAATAAATGATAAGGATTTCAAAGGTTCATTCAAGTGCACCGTGTAGTCACAATGAAAAAAGTGAGAATTTATGATGCAAATGTCCAGTTCTGGAAAAAAAAAACAACTATTCTCTTTCTTGTTACAATAGAAAAGCTGGAACTTACGTATTAAAGCATTTGCTATAAAACTGTTTTCTTCCCGTCAAAGTTTAAAACGCCTGGAAATATATAACATCATGTATTAACCAGTAAAGACCATCTGACGCAATTACATGCTCCAGCTTTAAAGCAACCTAAACTTTTTCCTTGATTTGTAATAGCTTTGAATAATTTCATTGATTATTTGAATATTATAAGCAACAAGGAACAGGTCCTATAATCTAAGCTGGTTGCAAATAAACCAAGTGTAAAGTGGCACATCTTCACCACATTTTCTAATAATCAGACAAAAACTATAGGACCATCAAAGTCTAGGCTTATGTTGCTTTTTATTCTTATATGAACTTTATATTCATAATATTTTATTTAATTAAAAAAGGTTGCATTGCCTCTACAGAGTCCAGAAAAAGGAATGATGTGCCCTGTCTTGCCTCTTTAAAGCTGAAAAACTATTTCCTAGACATGATAAACTGACTTCTGAAGGAGGAAATTAAAACCAAGAGTTGGGAGACTTCTAATCTCATTGAAGCCAAATGTGCTGAACTGTCCACCCTCCAGAACCATTATCAGTCGCTTATTGATGTGGATCCTCTCAATGTTTCTCTTTGCAGGAGCCTTAAGAAAGTTAATAAGAATCTTGCTTAATACAATTCCTTATGGGTTGCTTGGACCATTCAAAGATCTAAAGTCAAATGGCTGAAAACTGGGGAGGAGGATCTTAAATTCCTTTATTCCAAATTGCACAAAAGAAAATCTCATAATAGAAGCATCCTCCATGCTTCCTTTGGTGATCATGAGCACTCTCAAGCTTCCAATGTGGCTGGTATTGTAGAGCATTTCAAGAACCTTTATAATTCTCCTAAACCTATTATTACTAACCTAGATAACATTCCGGTTGGTAATTTTCTTAATGATGAAGCCAAGAGATCTCTAATCCATCCTATCAATAATGATGAAATTTTTGCGGCCATCTCCTCTGGATGCTCCTCCTCGGCACCTGGAGGTTTTAACTTTGCTTTCTACAAGAAAACATGGGCAATCACTGGGCCTTTGGTTTGTCAAGCTGTCAAATCCTTTTTCTCTAAGTGCTACCTTCCCAATCAGGTCAAAGCAACTGCAATTGCTCTCATTCCCAAAAATTTGCATGCCAATTCTATACATTACTTCAGACCCATATCCCTATGCAATGTTTTCCACAAGATCATTGCCAAAATTATTGCCACTCGAATGAAACCTATCATGCCTCTTATTATTCACAAGAGTTAGGTTGCCTTCATCTCCAACCGGCTATCTACTGATAATCCTATTCTAGCGGCTGAAATTCTTGGTTTTCTTTCCAAGAGGCATAAAGATAAGTTCATTAGGAAGGCTTTTGACACTAAGGGATTTCCTCTACTCTAGATTGGTCCAAAAGGGTTTCCCTCCCATCTTTATCAACTGGATCAAAGCTTGAATTAAGGAGACTTACTTCTCTATTTGCATTGATGGGGGGCTTGAAGGTTTCTTTTTGATGTAGTGGATCTTCGGAAGATGCGACCTGCAAGAAGGATTTGGGTTTTCCCAATCCAGGGAAGAAGAAGAAGAAGCTTTCAAAGCTTTAAAAAGGAGATAATTTCATTCAATGTCCCAACTCTTCTTACATCATACTATATATAATAATAAGGTAGAAAAACTAGAGAAAACTAGAAAGTTCTAGAATCCTATCATAAGCTTGTAACAAACTAGATAACATATGTCTAAGGAACGATTTAAGCTAAAATGCTCCGCATCATTCTCCTCTTGCGTCAAAAGAGCTCGACTCCGTCGAGATGCTTTATAGGAAAGGAGATAGATGTAGATAATATGAGCCACCCTCCTGGATCAAATATTTTGTAGGTTCTCAATCTCATGTGATCAAGCAAGCTGCAAGAACAACATAAACTTGTATATGAATCAAGATTCATTGGGTTTCCAAATGCTGGATTCGTAACTTCTACAAGAGCAGGATCTCTCTTATGAACAATTGCTAAGGTTTTGGATAATTTCAAAACCAGTTGAGCATCTTCTTGTGCCCGCAAGATGTTTAATGACCAAAAATCTCCACCAGGTGAACCCCATCCTTCACCAACCCCTGGAACTAGTCCACCAATGCCACATGTCACGAGAGATTGTGTCATTGACCATTCAAAAGAAACCAAGTTCCCAAATACATCCAATATTTTAACAAGATCCTCTCGAGTCCATTTAATCATCTCTTCTGTTAATACCTTAACCTCCATGTCTGAGCTATTTTCTCTGAGAAGCTGAATGTTGCATGCTTTTCTGGCTCTCTGAATGCACCCATCAATTATTGAGACAAGTTTAATCAACCCATGAAGATAGCTTAAGGAAGACAACACTACATCACAGCTTAATACTGATTGAATTACTTTGGCGCAATGCAAAACAACAGAATTGTGATTATCTTCTAAAGCAATCCGTAAGGACAAAACAAGCTGAGGTCTAGGGCCAAGTGCATAAGCTCATATTGGCCACCAATCAATATGATTGCTAACAATATCTTGTCTAGCATCAAGCCAACCCTTATCTTTCAACAAGTTGACCAAAGCTTTATTCAAGATAGAATCAAGAACCTTTAAAACAAGAGCTCTTTGTGCGGGAACCATGCTTAGAATCATAGCTATCACTTCCATGATTGAATATCCTAAAGCTGCTGGATCCCCATCGGTTTGCAGGAAATCACATTCTGCTACATTTGTATCATCAGGTTGAACGCCTCCAAGCTTGCACTTACTAGATACCTGATAAGAATCAACATTGAGTAAATCATCTTTCAAGATAAACCTTAACTCCCTCACTCTCTGTACTTTTCCACTCCAAACCTTCCAAGAGTTGCTCTTAACTTGTCCAACAGACACCCTACCTGCATGGCCTGCTGATACACCGGTAACCTTGACAACCTGGGATGGTGGTTCATTTCCAGTATTATTCTTCCCCAAATTCTTACCACTTTCATCCAGGTAATCATTAAACATGTTATGATCTTCATTATCGTGACCTGAAGTATTGTCATTCCTGCTAACAAACATCTCAACAATAACAGGATTAATTTTTTCAATTACCCTTTTATGAGCATCCTCAATCTCCTCTGGTGACACCTGCTTCAAGCGAGCCACATTCTCTGCGTGGATGTCTTCCATATTTGACATAAATCCTTGCTTATTCAACATTAGCATATCTGATGTAGTGTGATCGCGGGAGAAAAATATGACTGGGCTACGAGTGTGGAGTATGGAATCGGGTTGGATGCCCGACACAGGGTTGGGGGCACGCGAGATTGGGAGTTTGGGTGAAAGATGCGTGAAATGGAAACGAAGCTTGGGTCGCGCGGACGTGTCTGGAACTTGGTCGCATGCTGGAAGAGGATTAATTGGCTCGAGCGGTGCACGTGGAAGTTGATATGTTGATGGTCTGGAGGGATCTTCATCCAACGATTCCCAGTTGTTGACCTGTTGCTGTCGGAGCCGTGCTATGAGGAGGGACGACTTGTCGTATGATGCCGCGAAGAGAAACCCTTCATCACCGATGATGCTCTTATCGTTGGCGAGATCCTCGTGAGGTTTTGTAAGCTCCAGCCAAGAGGGGATGGTGGGGCATTTGTCGGTACCATATGAAATGGCGAACGATGTAGGGATCTCAACCGTGACGAGTTGGGTGAGTGATGAAAGCGGGCTGATGGGCTCATGTGGTGTCTGCTGGAGCGAGATCGGTTCGCGTGAGAGAGCTGAGGCGGAAGCAGAGTTGACATCATTTTCTAGCTGCGGATCAACTCGGGCCATGGGGTCGAAAGAAAAATCGATATGGAGAGCGGGAATGATCGCGGGTTCTGAAGTTTGGTGCTTGGTTGGATTGCGGGAAGGAGCGGAGGCAAAGAACAGAGACGAATCATCGATCTCTCTAACGGACTTCAG